TTGCCCTATGAAGACTCGCTTTCGCTACGGCTCCGGTGGGTTCCCTTAACCAAGCTACTGCATATGAGTCGCCGGCTCATTCTTCAGCAGGCAGCCCTGGCTCCTCCTACTGCTTGGGAGCTTACGGTTTCATATTCTATTTCACTCCCCGATGGGGGTTCTTTTCACCCTTCCCTCTTTTGCGCGTAAATCATAAACAGACAACTTACTTGTTCTTCGTAGAGGAAGCGAAAATGGATGAACCGCGACTGAAATTACTGGTCGATGGTGGTTGTCACGTTGTGACGGAGCAACCTCCTATACCACACTCCAAACCTATATTGGATTGAGAGAGAGAGAGAGAAAAGAGCGTGAAAAAATACTGCGTTTTCAATAGTTTTTTTATTTTACACTATCTATATACTTATATAGAGAATATTAAGGTTAACTAATAATCCCATTGGGACTTAATGCACCTTTTATGGGCGGACCCAAAATTCCTACATTTTTTATGTTGGGAATCGTTAAAAATTATTTTTCTATTTAAGTTAGGAATGGTCGATATGAATGTTTGACTCCAATTTTTCATCAATGTTCCAAGATAAGGCCACGTGCATAAATACACAAATACCAAGGCTACAAACACATTCCTGGACAATTTGTTCAAAGCTACAATAATTGATGAATTCGAAGATCTCTCTTCAATTTCCACCTCTAAGATTGCTTTCTCTTTAGAATTCATATAGATAATCATTTCTTTAAATTTCAAGTTATGTAATTTATTTTTGTCCTTTTTTTTTTCTAATTTGTTAGCAATTTGGAGGACTTCTTTGGTGTATGATTATTTCCTCAACAGATCAAAATGTATGATTTTCAGGAGTTTAAATTTGTTTAACCTTTTTATTTGCTATTCTATCACTCATAACTTAATAATATTGATTTAATTTTTAAATTAAAATTATATTTACTAGCATAGGGTACATGCGCAACACGCGTACCTTAATATTAAAAGCATGAAGTCCCTTAGCAAAATATCGGTCGTCTTTTTTACCCTTTAAAAATAGATTTTAGACTAGACAAAATAGTTATTTAACTATTTTTTAAAAATTCATTAAAATTTGATAATTATTTATTTACTTAATTGAATTATTTACTTAACAATTAAATTTAAAATCAATTAAAAGTTCATCTTAAATAAATCATTTAAAAAGTCAATAATTTGGATTGTCAGGTACAAACTTATCTATGTTTGTGTAAGGCGATTGGCAAATGACATCATAATGGCACCCAATTGTATTCCTAATTAATAACATAATTTTCTAACATTTATGAGTAACTTTTTTGAAGCATAATTTTACTTACCGTTAGTATTTGTAACCAATTACATTAATTTATTCTAATTGTGTAGTAAATCAACTTAAGACGAAAATTAAAAAAATATTAAATATAAAGGAAAATGATGTCTCATCTCTCCTTTAGTTTTGTCGTTTTTGATCTATCTATACTATTAAAACTGATCGACCTTTTCATCATCTAAAAAACAAATTATATTGGACACAATTATTACTTAATTAGCATTACCCAATATTAGGACGTTGAAATTACTTAAAGTTTTATCTATTAGATTTTTTTATTTGAACTATGTAGAGTTTCATAATATTTAGGAATTTAATCCTAGCGAAATCACTTATAAAAGTCGAGTAAGTTAATTTTCGCAAGAATTCATAATTTTAAAATAGTTATTTCATCGGAACAACACAAATCCATTTGATATTAGAAGTCTTCTATTACATGATACCAAAAAATTTTTGAGTTGATCTTCTACGGGAGGAACTCGCTCACAGTTGAGACGAAGATTTTATGACAGAAGTTATATGGAATTGAATGAAAGTTCAATATTAATACGTATGAGAATATGTTGTAGGCATTCCACAGAGATAAATATGTTAAAAAGCATGTTGTAGATATTTCACTGAATCATTAATACGTGAAAACCTTTTGGTTCTTGCAATATCCTTTACTGTTCTTGCACATTTAATTAAATATGCAAGGCATTGCTTACTAGGGTATTTTCTACTAAAATATTCTACTATAAGATAGTTGTTCTTTACGAGGTCTTGACCAAATACATCCTTATATTTCTTTAATCCAAACTTTCACTATGTTCTTATAACATTTTATTTAAAACAAAAAAGAAATACATTGAAATTCATGGGAGAAAAATGAACACAAACCAATACAATAATGAAGAATAGTTCGACAAATGATTGAGGTATAAGAGGAAACAACAATATTGCGCCTTCCACAAAGTTAAAAGATCAAGACGTCGATCTATCCCCAAGTTGAAAATGAAATGCCACTCTTAGTGTCTTACCAAGAACTTTCACCAATAACAGTTAGTATTTAGTAGTTTCTAATAAGGTGAGGTCCAAAATCATAAAATTAAATTTTCACATAAAGAAAGATTATCTGGCTCAAAATTGCAATTTGCATGGAGCTGAATCAGAAAGACAAGATTGAAAAGGGAAGCACAATTTCACACCAACTAGATTACAAGAAATCATAACTAACATCACACAAATAAGCAGACGATATTTTATAGGCAAAATACCTTAAAATCCCCCTAAACTTGACACGGATTATTAGTTACAGCCTTAAACTATTCGTGGTCTTAATTACCCCCCTCAACTTGGTCTTTTGAGAGTCATTATCCCCTGAACGCTGATGCGGTAAAAAGTGTGGGTGCACTCGCCTGTCACGTGGATTTTTCTGTATATGTGGCATTTTTTTAAAAAATAAAATATATTTTTACCTTTTTAAGAATGTTACTTTTTTAGATAATTTTTTGCGAATAATTTATACTAAAATTTGGATATGACTTAAAAATAATAAAGTTTTAGTTAATATTTTTTTGAATTTGACCTGAAAATAAAGATTTATACAATTAAAATAAATAGTCAAGACATCTAAAAATTTATAAAAAATACATAGTTTGAAATTAATTATTTTGGCTATAATTTTTTATATAGCTCTAAATTACGGTGCTCTATTTTTTTTTTTTATTTATTTTTTTTTTACATATTTTACCTAAAAAAGTAAAAATATACATTTGAAATAAATAGTCATTGCATTAAAAGAAGAAATAAAAAGAGTGTACAATTGCAAGAAATTACAAGTGCAATTGTACACTCTTTTTGTTTCTTCTTTTGATGCAATGACTATTTATTTCAACTATGTATTTTTTATAACTTTTTAGATGTCTTGACTATTTATTTCAATTGTATAAATCTTTATTTTCAGGTCAAATTCAAAAAAAAGATTAACTAAAACTTTATTATTTTTGGCCAAATAAAAATATTTAGCCTAAATAAAGTAGTTATATCCAAGTTTTATTATAAATTTTATTCGAAAAAAATTATCTAAAAAAGTAACATACTTAAAAAGGTAAAAATATATTTTATTTTTCAAAAAAAAATGCCACGTATACAGAAAAATCCACGTGGCAGGCGAGTGCACCCACACTCTTTGCCACATCAGCATCCAGGGGGTAATGACTTTCAAAAGGCCAAGTTGAGGAGAGTAATTAAGATCACGAATAATTTAAAGATGTAACTAATATTTCGTGTCAAGTTTAGGGGGGGTTTAAGGTATTTTGCCTATTTTATAAAAGCAAACTGCGCCAATTACTAATCAAAATAATTAGGGGCATTTTCATTTATACCCGCTTTTTGTGACACATTTTAACCTGTGCCCGCTTTGCAAAAAAAATTGCAAGCGTACCCGCTTTTTCACATAACTTCAGCACACGGGGTGAAGTAGCAAAGGCAATCACGCAAAACTTCAGCATTTTAGTAGCTGGGCCTGAAGTTCAGCTCTAGAGCTGAAGTTTTTGTGTTGTAACTGGGAAACTTCAGCTCTAGAGCTGAAGTTTTTGTGTTGTAACTGGGAAACTTCAGCTCTTGAGCTGAAGTTTTTGTGTTGTAACTGGGAAGAGCTGAAGTTTTTGTGTTGTAACTGGGAAACTTCAGCTCTAGAGCTGAAGTTTTTGTAGAGCTGAAGTTCCATTTATCTCTTCCATTTCCTTGCACCATATTACAGAAAATTTCAGTCAGATTTAGGAGGTATTGCAGCAACCATTTGGGTATTAGCTTCTTGATTTTATCACACCCGAAAAGTTCAAGGCGACGGAGATGGAAAAAGTCCCAGCTGAAGGCAAAAAATCTCCTAACTCCATCTTAACAAGACCAATGAATCCTTTTGAGTGATGCAAACTCAATTCCTCAAGATACGTGAGTTCAGGAGGTGCCAACATTCCATCACTTACTGAGTTACGTAACCTAATTAAGAACTCTATACCATTACAATAGTGAATTCCAATTTTCCTCATCTATTACCACATAAAGATTAAAATTGAAAAAAAAAGGTTAACTTTTGGACTAAAACTAATAACTGGAAAAAAAGAAGAAGAAGAAGAAAACGAAGGAGGAGAAGGAGGAGGAGAAAGGAGCTGGAGTTTTTTAAAAAGTGGGTACAAGTTAAAAGTTTTAAAAAAAATGGGTATAAGTTAAATGGGGGCGACCAAATAGGACGCCCCGTGCAATTTTTACAAATAATTATATGGCATACCGGTATAACTATATACAAAGTCTCATACATAAGTCTTTATCTCACAATTTCAAATATTTTCTCTTCGCAGGACCGAAAGATAAATATTATGCCTTAGCTCAAGCAAAATAGTCAACATGCACTTCTTTACCTATAAAACTTGTAACTAAAGTAGATCTATTTTAATTAAATAAGATCTGGAAGTGAGTATATTATCAAATACCCAAACAACTAACCTAGGAATATCACAAATCAATCATATAAAAAGCAGAACCTTTTCTTTTATGAAGAAACGTGTGAAATATACTCATTTTTTAGATTGGGCCCGTGCTAGTCACGAGCCTACCATCATCTAGTATCGTTCCTTAATAAAAGTCCAAATAATTAGATATGTGGGAGTATAATTTTGTAAAATTTATATTTATTGATATGAGACGCTATAAGACACGTAAGCCCTTCTCCCAATTCATGAATTCATTGATTACCAAATAACCACCAGCCGCTGTAAATTAGCCGTTTGTTTCATCTTTTTCTTTCTCCACCCCTACTTCAGTGGAACTCATTCGTTCACCCATATTGGAATGTCTGTTCAATGATAACCCCTTTTAAGGTTCTTTAGTATTTCAATTTTTCTAGATACCTACGGCAGCGGAGGATGTGGGTTTTCTTGCTTGGTCTTCTTTATCACTGTAGAAATCACTGGGTCGCCTGCTCATTTTGTAAAAAAATTTATTTTTATTTTAACAAGTTATTGGATATTCAAATTATGAAAATTTAAGCTTGGGGTATAGTTTAAAAGCCTACCTGCATCTTTCCTCTGGCGAACTCCTAGCTTCTTCTTTCTCCGGCGAAATTGATTGGTAAGTTGCATTCATGTGTGTATCTCCATTTCTCTATATGGTTTACATGTTTTGATTCAGTTCTTGCAACCCGTCTTTGTAATTTGAATGAATTCTTTTGTTCTGTGAAATTTGATTTGCTTGAATTCCTTTGAAAGGAAATTTGATAGATCTTTCTGTTGTCTCAATGGGTTTTCTTGAATTTACATGTTGTAAATGATAAGCTAGAGAGTCAAGTTGTTGAGATTAAGGTGAAGGTTTTTGGTATAGAATCCGGGTATTAAGTGATGTGAGAAACTGTTTTGATGTTATTCCTTTAAAGAATCTTCACTTGATTTTCGAGCATGGCATGCTCATTCATGTACCAGAAAGTATGATAAGCCAAAAATTCTTACAAATTGCCTAATCTTACTCACTTGTGGGGAATGCTTACATTTTTCTTTTCTTTTCAAATTGTAAGCATTCCCCTCAAGTCTGCGCCAAATGAAGGAAAAAAAGGGTTATTTCAGTTTCTGGTGTTTGCCACTGCCCCTTGCTCGTAGAAATACCTTAGTCGAATAGGTAGTCCATATTTGAGTTGTAAAAAGTTGAAGTTCTATTCTTGTTCTCTTGACATTGTATAGGCTTGATTGTATTGCTTCGATCTGAAAATGAACAAAAGAATGATGTTACACTTTGACATACCAATAACCCAAAGATCAGATGAGTTACTCATTGCTTTCTACTTTTCCAGATACTGTAAAAGTGTGATCTGCTTTTTACAAGAGGACCATGCTACGCCAACTTCATCAAAAATTGAGGGGTAGAAAGGTGATTGTTACCCGAATGTATAGTTCTAAAGAATCAATGGAAGACAAACTCGATCCGCTGAATAGGCTTTGTAAAATTATGATGTCTTGCCCAAAATTGGGCCTTGACACAGAGCTTGACCAAAGTGGGATTAGAATTTCATCAGAGATGCTTGACGATGCCCTTAAGAGATTTGAGAATGCTGGAATGCTTGCATATCGTTTATTTGAATGGGCTGGGAAGCAACATAATTATGAACATAGCACGAGATCCTACCACATCATGATTGAATCTCTTGCCAAGATAAGGCAATATCAGATTATGTGGGATCTTGTAAATAAGATGAAAACCAAGGGAATGCTTAATATTGAGACTTTTTGCATAATCATGAGAAAATATGCTAGGGCGCAAAAAGTAGAGGAAGCTGTTTACACTTTCAATATCATGAACAAGTTCGACGTGCCCTCTAACCTGGCCGCTTTTAATGGCTTATTGAGTGCTCTATGTAAATCAAAGAATGTGCGAAAAGCTCAGGAGATTTTTGATAGTAAGAAACATGAATTTGTTCCTGATTCAAAAACTTATAGCATATTGATTGAGGGGTGGGGAAGGGCTCCCAATCTGCCTAAGGCAAGGGAAGTTTACAGGGAAATGATTGAGGTGGGCTGTAATGCTGATATTGTGACTTATGGGATCATGGTTGACATCCTTTGCAAGGCTGGCAGGGTCGACGAGGCCGTTGCAATTGTCAAGGAGATGGAGTTCAGCGGTTGCAGGCCAACATCTTTCATTTATAGTGTTTTAGTTCATACATATGGGCTGGAAAATCGGATTGAAGATGCGATAGATACATTCCTTGAGATGGAAAAAAATGGAGTTGAGGCTGATGTAGCTGTATATAATTCTCTAATTAGTGCTTTCTGTAAGGTAAATAAATTCAAAAATATCTATAGGGTTCTAAATGACATGCAATTGAAAGGGGTGACCCCCAACGCAAGGACTTGCAATATCATTCTGAGTGGCTTGATTGCTCGAGGTGAGACTGATGATGCTTTTAAGGTTTTCCGCAGGATGCTCAAAATTTGTGATCCTGATGCAGACACGTACACTATGATGATTAAGATGTTTTGCGAGAGGAATGAGCTGAAGATGGCTCATAAAGTATGGAAATATATGAAACGCAAGCAATTTGTTCCAAGCATGCACACCTTTTCTGCATTTATTAATGGGCTGTGCGACAATGCTGATGTTTCAAGGGCCTGTGTGTTGATGGAAGAGATGATAGAGAAAGGAATGCGTCCTGGTAGGATGACATTTGAAAAATTAAGGCAATTACTTCTCAAGGAAGGGAGAGAAGATGTACTTGAATTCCTTCAGCTGAAAATAAATCTTATGGTCAGGGAGCCCTTGTCTGATTAAGAAACTATCTGTAACGAATCTGACTATTCCTGATTAAGATTTGCAGTTGCCGAATCTGAGATCTAGAGTCAGAATATCAAAGTGCCTTGAACTGCTTCAGAGCAGAAAAGATTTCCAGGTCACATAACAACCGAGCTTGCTAAGGACTTCATCAGTGAGACTTATTCGGAGAGCTTTGCAAACTTTAAGTTGGGAAAATAAGGCCAGTCCTCGTAAAATACTATAGTGTAGAAAAGGTATAGAGTATAATACAACTCTTAGCTTCTCTTTGTTGTTGCTGAACTTGATTTCTCTAACTATATTTACCTCTTTTGGGTGCAGTTAGTTCCTTCCCTTTTTCAGATAACTTTTAAAAGAAACTTTAGCAAGAAAAAGATGCTTCATACAAGTGGTCTAAAAGCCAAGCACAAGGTCAGCATGCATGTAACGATACAGTTAGTTTTGGTGCCTTCTATCTATATGCTAATGCATACCATGGTTTTGGTGGGTTATTGGTTCTCAGGTCACATATCCCATCTTCTGCATGTGTTATTTCTCTGCTGGATGTTTTCTTGATTTTTCATTCGCTGAAGAAAGGACAAAAACCATCTCATTTTGAAATTTGAGTTAAGACACATAAGAAATGAAGCTTTATACTAAAATTAATGTATTTATATTTCACGGTGGAGAGCTCTAATAATTTGTTTCTTTTCTCCTGAAAACTTCAATTTACCCCTTTTTCTAAATTGTCAAAGGTACTTGTTTGATTGTGTCTTACCACTTCTTGTTCTATTGGTTCCGTGAAGTCAGTTTCTGCTGCTGCTGCTACGAATTCTCTTCTTCACGTTTCCTTTGTGCCTTTTCTCATTCTTTTTTCTGTCGAGGATCTTCAATCTGTATATTGTGCTCAGCCAACATGGGACTAGTTCAGTGCCTCTTGCAAAGAACTGAACGAACTAATGAAAGAAGTGAGAGAACTAACTGAGGACTAAATCTTCTGCCAAGGGTAATCCTGCTCTATTTTTTTCTTCTACTTGTTACTTGATCCAGTTGATGTACTTTTATCCTAGTCTCAGCCTAGACTTTTTCTATCTGCTAACCTTCTTTTTCCTTTCCTTTTTATTCTTTCCGCACCCACTCTCTCTCTTTCTCTACTGATCGTGTCTGTTGCAAATCAGCAACACTACAATTGTACAGCTAGATCATTTATGAAAGTAATGTATTTATCAATTAATCTTGATTATATTTCTTCATGTTTGTATCGTATATGAGTGGAAGATGTGAGCTGTTTTCTCACATCATATTCCCGTGCAAGCACCTCGGAAGGCCTATCTCTTTACAACCCTGTCAGTAGATGGCCTTGGCTGACCTAGTCCATTCAACTAACTAGCTCGAGGGAAGAACTGCTGAGAACAAGCATAGAAAGACGCTGAGATTTGAAAATGAGCTACCACACTGACCTTCCAGAACAGAACTCTGAGCATATGGCACACAAACCTTTTGTATACTCAGTTTTAATTTTAAAAAGCTGCACTTTTGTTTCCTTCCTCTCCGGCGAGCTATCTCTTGTGTCCGTTGATAAGCTTGGTATACAGGTAGCAGAGATCTTTCATGATACTTAACCCTTACCGTACCTTTGAGCCTCATCGGAACAGGCAGCACTTGAACCGGCAGGTGATGATATTGAACAAATGGAAGTCTGGTCTCTATTCCTTTTGATGATTTGAGCATGTCCCTATGTATATATGCATACATGGAAAATTTTATTTTGTGTCTCATACAACTGACACTAGTTGTATGAGACATCTTTTTTGTCTCACTGTTTTGTGGACCCAGATTTTTGTGGACCCAGAAGTGTAAGATAGGAGTCTACAAATTTTTGAGACAAAAATGAGCCTCACACAACTAATGTAAGTTGTGTGAGACACAAAATAAAACTTCTCATGCATACATGTATTGTATGTGAAACGATAGTTGAGTGTGACTCATATTAAACGAGTTTCGATCTGATCTTGAGCTTTACTTGAATTAGCTTAATTTTGTATAACAAATGCATCTTATAGAATTAAATTGGAAAATGTTTAATTCTTTTAAACTAATTAAGAATTTTGCATGCCACCGAAAAAGCTATGGTGGTTATCGCAGTGGTCAAATGGCCTCATTTTTTTTTTTTAAAGATTAAGACATCTGAATCTGAATACACATTTGAATATTAAGATGTGTATTAAGATTAAAACGTCAGGATCTGAACACACATCTTGTCACGATCAAAATCCCATCGTAAGGGTCGTGATGACAGCTAGTTCCTAAGACTAGGTAAGCTTATCATATAACGACGTCAATCAGATTACAAAAGCTATAAACTTAATAAAAACTGAGAAATATATTAAAACTGCCAAACGTGGATACAATAAGCAATTTCTCAAAATCCAATAATATAGTAATAAGCTCTCCACGAATACATAACAAATCTCGAATAGTACAATACTGTTTGGATTACATAAACAGTAGAGAATAAAGTAAAGATGGTGACTTCGAGGCATGTGAACGGGACAACAGGGATACCTTGAAATCTCCAACCAGTGCTCGTACGTTACCTAACGTTCAGCCCTATCCCAAGAATCTGGATTTGCACAAAGAATGTGCAAAAGCGTAGTATGAGTACACCACAATCGGTACCCAGTAAGTATCAAGACTAACCTCAATGAAGTAGTCAAGACACTCACTAGACAAAACTTGTGCAATATATCAATAGCTAACAACAGAAAGTATACAGAAGCCAATTACTGTAATCTCGTCAAAATAGGCGATAACAACTTAATACAAGTAAATGCTTAGTTCCAACAAGTCATTTATTAGAATCGCACACATAGGGCACCTCGTACCTACGTTATCAATTACCTTCGCACGACAAAGACCTCGTGCCACAACATATACCATACCCACACAACAAAGACCTCGTGCCACAACGTGTATCATACCCGTGTCAGTTACCAATAACATGTTCAAGAGAAATTTATCAAGAATCAAATAAAGTAATGCATAATAACAACTTTCTTTTTATTTCAATCCGTTACGCTTCCAACAACTCAACAGAATATGAGATATCTACTTCATGTAGGTAGATCTATCTTGACAACCAAATCATCAAGTAACAAAAGCATAGAATCACGTAAAAATGCATGTCACACATAAAGAAGTTATAAGCACAAACAAGAATACCCCTTTTCACCACCACACGAACATAATCAGTACAACGCCCCTAAGAAATCACACAACATCCCACAATACCATCCTTATCTCACCGCGTGCGCAACAATAAAGTAAATGCACCCTTGTCTCGCCACACACGTATTAACAATCATCCCACCTTGTCTTGCCACTTGTGCAAACCAGATATAATCTGTCTTGTCTCGCCACATGTGCAATATCAACAATAACAATAGCATGGCAGAAACCTTGTGCAAACACTCGAACAATCCGCCCAACAAGTCCACATGTGCCATAGTCATAACAACACAATATGCCACAATTTTCATCAAGACAAAAACTCACAATCTGCCAACATAGTGTAGAAGGAAAACTCAATAAGGGAATGTGAATGGGTGTTCAACGTATAAACATGAATTCTGCTAATCCAAATAGCAACAGTCTCACAAAATCCCAACTTGGCCAATTAAGGAAATAGAAACCAAAAACATGATCTCTAGCATGGAAGATAAGCTCAAGTAATCGACCGAGCTAATATGCGTAATGCAGAGATCTCTGAATCCCAACAAGGCAATAAGAACAACCTTGGGTCACATCCGGTCATAAATCATACATACGATTGTGTACACACTCGTTACCTCGTATACACATCGTTCACACATATCGCAAATAAGCAATCAAGACAAATTCCTAAGGGGTAATTTTTCCCACACAAGATTATGCAAGATACTTACCTCAAAAGTCCCCAATCAGTATTTCAAAAATGCTTTTCCTTTAAAATTTACCTCCGTTCCGCTCAAATCTAGCCAAAAATAGCTTAATAATATCAAGCATTATCGGAGAAGCCAATTTCTATTAATAAAGTTAATATCTTTACACTTTTCCCAAAAAATTAACAAAAGTCAATCCCGGGATCGCTCGGTCAAAATTCGAATCGACGGGTAGATCTTGATTATCATAAACCCAAGAGTCCAAATATATGTTTGGTTTTCAAATCCGAATCTAAATCGACTCTCAAATTTCAAATTTTTATTTTTCAAAACATAGTCAAAACTTCCCAAAAATTCTTTTCAAATCTCATGGATTAGATGTTAAAATTCATAAATAATCATGTTATAGTATCAAAATTGAGTCAAAATTACTTACCTAATAGCTTTGTATGAAATTCCCTCCTAAGATCTCATCCCATTTGAGTCTAGGGATCAAAATGTGATAAAATAAGACTAAGTCCCGAAATTCCACCCTTTAAACGAGCTGCAGATGTCGCATATGCAACCAGGGGTACGCAAATGCGACCAGGGGTGCGTAAATGCGACCAGGGGTACGCAAATGCGACCATCACAAATGCGACAAAAGCATCGCAAAAGCGATGCCTGAGCAGCCTAAGGAATGTCGCAAAAGTGACACAATCTTCATAAATGCGAAGACAGGCCCCTTCGCAAAAGCGACCCCTGCAATTGCGGTCACCCCTGCCCAATAGCCCTATGACAAATGCGATCAAACCGTTCACAAAAGTGAACACCCCAGCACCAGCCAACCTCACAAATGCGGTGCCCACCTCGCAAATGCAAGGTCCGCAAATGCGAACAGGATCTCACATTTGCGAGACCTCCAGCATCAGCCCAAAACCAGCAAATCTGAAACTCACTTAAATCATTCCGAAATGATTTTTAAACTCACCCGAGCCCCCGGGACTCCACACCAAATATCCACACAAGTCTATAAACATCATATGAACTCGCTTGCGAGCTTAAAGTACCAAAATGAAATATAGAACCACGAATCGAACACCCAAACGCATAGAAATCACATTGAAACTCAAGAACTTCTAAAGTCACAACCAAGCCTGTGATTCCTACCAGACCAACTCAGAATGAGACCAAACTTTGCACATCAGTTCCAAATGAATAAACGTACCTATTTCAAGTCCCAAAACCAATATCCGAATCCGATGGCCATAAAGTCAACCTATGGTCAAACTTAGGAAAATTCTAAACCTTCAAATTGCCAACTTTCGACAACATGAGCGAAATCAACCTAGGAACCTCTGAAATCAATTTCATGCATACGCCTGCGCCCAAAATCACCATATGAACCTAGTGGAACCATCAAAATACCATTCCGTTCACAAAAATCAAATGTCGGTCAACTCTTCCTACTTAAAGGGTCCAACTTGAGAATTTCTCTTCCAAATAAACTCCGAACCTCTCGAACACTGAAAAGACCATACATGCAAGTCGTGATACATCATATGAAGTAAACTCCGAACCTCTCGAACACCGAAAAGACCATACATGCAAGTCGTGATACATCATATGAAGCTACTCAAGACCTCAAAACACCGAATGAAATGGTAAATCTCACAACGATCGGCTAGGTCATTACATTTCCCCCTCTTAAATAAATGTTCGTCCTCGAAGCACCAAGAGACGCTCCAGAGCCAACAAATCACGGAGTAAACTTATCATACACATACCAATGAGTGATCCCACATCACCTATGTCTACGTAATCCCGTCAACACCATCTCGAATGAAGATTATTCCTTCAACCTTAATCGATAAACCTTAGAACCAAATTTCAATATCCACGCTTCCTCCTAAGACCCGATTCTCACCTATACACGTTGTATCCACCCCAACCAGCTTCAAAAGATCATAAATACATTCACAAGGTAAAAAACACAATTAACCCATTGTTCATATGCCAATAGCAACTTCTCCGACCACAATAACTGCCTATTACCAAATTCGGTACCGGTAAATAACCTCACATCAAATAATGCCTTGTTCTAAACCTTCACAACACTGCTACTGATGCAAGAAACATGTGGAAACTCATAATCACTCACCTAACCAACAAGCCGTGGAGTTCTCTTGCCCGACAAGAACCAACCCCAGCTCTAAGCCGATTAACCGCATTCTTGTCTAGATATACATTATCCATGTCCGAACGCACTAATTCCAAGTCCAATGATCTCATCTCATCCAGTACAAGCTATTCGACTAACCAGCTATACCATACACTACCCATGCACATATGTCACAACCGTACCTGACAAGCACAACTCGAACATAACTAAAGATGGAAAGATAAACACGTGAGAGAACTATCCGACAAGTCCAATGATATAAGGCCTAAAGTATGTATATTTATATGCATATCGCCTCCCATTTGACTCATACTCGTGGGTGTTATATGTGTAATGTAATGATTTATTCTAATTCGTGGTATTTTTATGTGTAGGTGTCACGACCCGGTATTTCCCACCTTCGGGACCGTGATGGCGCATAACATTTCACTTGCTAGGCAAGCCAACGTTAGAGTATTTATTAAGCCAATTTTAGTCAGTTTCAATAACATGATCAATTAAGCCAAAAGAGGCTAAAACTGAGTGCGGAATAATATAAAGCCCATAATATCTAATACAATCCGGATCTGGAGTCACAACTCACGAGCTTCTAGAATTTTCTACAAAATGCGTCTGAAAGAAATACAATTGTTTGGAACAAAAAGAAATAGTAAAATAGGGAAAATAGAAGGGGACTTCAAGGTCGGCGGACGCCAGCATATCTACCTCGAGTCTCCAATGAGCAAATCCAAGCTCCTATGCCTCACGAACAGCTAGGGCCGGTACCAAAGTCTGCAAAAGAAGTGCAGAGTGTAGTATGAGTACAACCGATGCCATGTACTACATAAGTGTCGAGCCTAACCTCGACCAAGTAGTGACGAGGCTATGGCAAGACACCCACGTAATAAACCTGTGCAAATAACAATATACGTACAGGACAACAACAAATAATTTTTAAACATGTACTA